CGCCGCTATTCTGACTAAGATTCTGACAGTTGGTATCCATAGTTATTAATGTAGTGAACGATTAATCAAAAGATATGACGTATTCAGTACTTAGTGTGATTGGCTTTATGATTGAAGGTTATGCCCTAGAATCTTTTTACTGCTTTGTAATTGGTTAGAGTTTTGAAAATGAATAAAGAGAGTTTGAGTTGGTCTTGGGGAGCACAGCACGATAGACGCAGTCGAGGGCAGTCTTGGAGAGCCTTGGGGCGAGTGTTGACGCAGTCTAAAAGTGTCTTGGGTCAGCCTTGCGATAGTCTTGGGGATTTTTCCTCGGGACGCTGTGTCTGATAGAGTGTTCGATTGACCGACTAAGACGAGAGCTGAAACGTATTTCGTTGTGTGTGTCTTATTTGACTGTAAAGCTTCAGCGACTTTCCCGATCCCGCACCTCAAGGGGACGAGATATAGAGACGAGACGAGTTTCCCCCCTGACAGTGTGGCCAACCCCGTGGAGGGAGAAGTTTACCCCCGTGATACGTGGTGGAGAACCCGAGAGTAGGAGAATTTTCTCCTGATACGTTTTGGATGAACCTGGGCAGGTGTTTAACACACATTGACATCCTGTGAAGAAAAGTGAAATGACGAAGAGGTGTCTTTCTTGTGAACCGAACTAACTGGCTCGATGGCAGAGACGAAACCGCGCTTGACGACTAACACCGTTAACAGTATGGCACCGATGAACGACGCTGAAGAGATGAAGATTTCAGAACCCCTTATGAAGGACGAGTACCGGATAGGACTGAATAATTAAGAATTGAGCGACATTAAAGACAAGAAAATGACAAAGAACGACCCGGAATAACGCGACAAGAGAAGAGACGCTTATAGACTTTGACTTTAGCTTTTTGCTTAGAGAACTGCTCGCTGGACACTGTAACTGACACTGTAACTCAAGACGTTGAACTCTTTTCCACAATCACAACACTATTGCTTAGTAATGTAATGTATTGCTTGCTTTTCCTATCTTTTTTCTTACCGTTTTTTTTGTGGTATTGAATTGTATGTGTGTAAGCGCCCAGATCTTTGTTTCGAAGTGATATTTGGTGACGTGCGAGCCCGGCCCCCCCACTCAGGATCCATAGGGGGCCGCATGCGCGTTCCCATTTTCTCGGGAAAGGGGGTACTTTTTGACGATCTGTCTCGGGAACATTTTCCTGAGAAAATCGTAGAAAAGGGGGTATTTTTTGCTTGTTTTCCCGAGATTCTCAAAATAGGGGGTGTATTTCAAAACACTTACCGAGATATACAAAAAGGGGGGGTTTAAAAGGAGTTCTAGACTGAAAAGTTCCCTAGATAGGGGGTGAAATTCATCGGAAAAGCCCGTGAAAGGGGGGGGGTTAAATTTTCTTCTTTTGCCTAGATAAGGGGGTCAAAAAAAATGAGGGAACAAACATAGGCCCCCCCTTAAATATAGGGAGTAGGGGGGCCGGGCGTGCGAGGTCCTTTATAACGATTTAAGCGCACCTCAGTGGACAAGTATTTGCAACAGTGTTATGAGTTTTGTGAAGTTTTATGGTGTTTTAATGAGTTTATGAGTACGGAATATGATGGGAGGAATGATGCCCCCACGAGTTTTTAAGAGTTTTGAGATTTGTCGAGTACAGAGATATCAACGTTTTAAGAGTTGTTGTTGTTTACGTGTTTCCGGGATACTTCTGACGCTTTTTGAGTTGAGAGCACTTTGTAACGTTTTTTTTATATCTTTTTGAGATAGGAGTATGGTGCGCTTATATACGTATTGTTTGATATCGCAAGATTTTGTTCATGATTGACAGGATTATATGTAACTTAGTAGTTTCTATCGTTTTGCCTTTTTCCGTCTTTTTGCCAGAGGAGTAATGTGTTATGAAAGCGACATTGTCTTTGCATTCTGTTACCACGCCGTATGACTTTTGTTTAGATTAACGACTTGTGAGTTCAGTTGAAGTTTATAAGCGTATATGACAGGAGTTTGATTAATAGCTTTTTATTCATTGTTTATTAGTTACCGCACAGTCCCTCTATAGATAGAGGGACTGTGGTTACCGCTTTGCAATGCTTTAACCGAGAGACGCATCCCTGGTAATCACGTGATCATGCTGTCGACTGCAGCGATTGGCTGATCGCTTGGTTACACCGCCACGCCTTAGTTTTTGACCTTTTGATATAGAGTTTGTAACCTTAGTAACGGAGACAGTGCAGCGAAGGGTTACCTCAGCGAACCGTTTTGAGAAAAGTGAGTCGTTTGGTAGCCTTTCCCTTGTGTTTGATTTATAACCGTTGATATTTGTGACTTTATAACCATTGTATTTAGACTTTATAATCATTGTACTTAATTAGTGTGTTTTA